GTGTGTCGGCGCCACGGCCCTGGGCCTGGGGCATAACCACAGCCCTGCATGTGGGGACTCCGGGGGGTCAGGCGAGCCTCCCCCGTCGGTGGGGCATAGACGCCTGGCCAGTGGCCTGAGGTCCTGCTGGAGGAAGAAGCGCCCAGAGGGGGGCATTGACCGGCCACGCACACGGGTGGGCAGTGGTAAGTGGGGGAGGCTGATCTGGGGCCTCCTTGGAGTCCTGCCTGGGGAGAGGCGGTCACGGCGAAGGAGTGTGGGCGCTGCGCTCTGGGCAGTGGGCGCCCGGCGATAAACAGCACCGGCTCCCAGGGCGGCAGGGAGAAGTCCCAGCATCCCCTGCTCTCCCCGGGAAGGTGGTGGGGGCCGGGACAGCAGTGACAGGACGGGTGTCAGCATGACAACCAGCATCCGGTGGTGGGGGTCCAGGGCCCAGTGGCCCAGTCACAGGTGCTGCGAGGCTCCGGGATGACTGGGGCGGGGGGCGTGGGGCTCACGCAGGAATCGCATTACAGAGTCCACCTCTCAACACCGACTCCCGGACATCACCCACCTTCAGGGTCCTGGGCGACTCCCGCCCGGCCGGCCCCCTCTCTCCCCGCCCCCCCCAAACTCTCCCCTTTTCCTCGGGGCTCTCGCTCTGACTGCCCACACTAGGTGTAAGTGTATCAGATGCATAGTAGGCATGTGCGTCCAGCGGGCTTTCCCCTTCGGACTCAGCAAATGCATCACTCATATTACAAAGATGCTGCTGTTGATCGAAATGCTTTTAGAATTGAGCACATGTCCTGTTTCCCACGCCTCCACTCCGTCGTCGAGTAGAAACCCGGCGACAACACGCAAAGCCGCAGCTGCCCAGCTTCCTCACGGCGTCGGGGAGCCGTTTCCTCAAACACCCTGTGCAGAACCTCAAGGCGTGAAAATCACACTCATACAAAAATGGAGATGAAACGCACACAGCATTCAAGTCAACTCTTTTAATCGGTCCAGCGTGGCTCAGGGGTTGAGCGTCGACCTATGAACCCAGAGGTCAGGGTTCAAGTCCCGGTCAAGGCACAGGCCCGGGTTGTGGGCTCAATCCCCCGTGGGGGGCGAGCAGGAGGCAGCCAGTCCATGGTTCTCTCTCATCATGGATGCTTCTCTCTCTCCTTCTCCCCTCCTCTCTGACATCAATAAAAGTCTACGTACTTTTAAATTAACTATTTTAAAGCGAGCGATCCAGTGGCATTTAAAAACCTCACATTGTGCAGCCACCACCTCTCTGGTTCCAGAACCTGTCGTCCTGCCAAAATAAAAGCCTGAGCCCACCCAGAAGTTCCCCCCGACCCCACTCCCAGCCCTTGGCAGCTGCCAACCTCTCCCCCCGCCCCGCCCATCCTGGGCTTCACAGGACGCGCTCACACAACACGCAATCGCACAACAGGCGCTCGCACA